GATAGAAAAGGAATTTCACAACTTCTCTTCAAATAAGGATGAAATGTAGAGGCTTTACTGTAATCAATAAACAGACCACCACTGACAATGGTCCAATGTCAATAGAAAAATTGTCAAAAACGAAATTTCCAGTCAAACGTAAATGGCTCCGATAAAACGTAACGAAGCAAAACATCCAAAACCAAAGTGCCACGTGGATAATTACGTAAAACCGAATCCACTGAGGCACTCCCCAATGGCGAAACGTATTCCGGAAAAGTGCGAAGACATCGATATCGAAGACGAGCTCGTTATGCACCTGACCGAAATCAAAAATGCCTACACGAAAAAGCACGGGGGAAAAATGCGAACGAAATACTGCAACAACACCCAAGACCCCGACATAATCAAATCCAAAGTTTACAATGTTGTTTCAGCAGCATTAGAGTGCGGTTGCGTGCATGACGTTTTACAAAAACAAGGCAATTATTATTGTTTGAGGAATAGGTGTGTGATGCATACGAATCCAGGTGCACCAAGGTATTGCCAGGATTGTTGCAAAATACACCGAATTGTAAAAGGGCCTAATGATTTTCAAGCCAAAAGGCCTTTTGGTCAACAACAACCTGGTGGTACGAAAATGCAAGTTCTACAGTGTCCTGAATGTCGGGCTTTGGAACGTACCCGGAAATGAGTTATTTCGTCTTTTATTTGTTTGTCTTTTGTAAATTGGTAGTTTGTTGAATAAATTTTACTTTTGTATTTTTGTCTATAGGGTTAAACTACCTTGGAATTAAAGTGTACAAGCATAATGGGATTCCCTAGTTCAAAACACAACGTTGGTAATTTCAATGTGATCTTGATGAAATTAAGCTTCAATTAGGTACCTACATTTTCTACAAATCTCCTGTAAATGATTTTAATGTAGGTTCAATAGTTTTGCAGCTACAAAGTCTTTTGACTATCATTTTTCTCCCAAAATGACACATTTCAGCAGTGAGTAAGATATCATTAAGTGGGATTCTGGTGTGCACATTTTTCAAAGTGGTTCACCCCTCGGTAGCAGCTAACATGAGTTTTATAGGTTCTATATGGATTCTATGGATAAATAATTTAAGCGTTGGAAGATAGAAAATATGGTATTTTTATTACCCATTTAGAATAACCCCATCCTTATTTATCAATAACGAATCAGGTGAAACAAACTAAGGATGTCTATTAATTTCAAGTCCAAATGCGTCGACCAATTGGGAGACGCACTAAGGTAGTTTGTAAATAAATTTTACAGTCAAGATCTTCTCATATTCAGGTTCAATTTTGGCATTGCCGAATGCTAGAATAAAAAACAATGTACCCAGATCCAGCGTTTCGTACCAATGGTTGGACACATCGTGTGGCGCCGCCTTTAAACGCACATACAAGGGATTTTTTTGAAAAATTTTTATCTGTTTTTGTTTTTTTACTTTTTTATATTCCCTCTAAACACAAAAACAATTAAACATGCCGATACAAATGATTATTATTAAATCACTAGAAAAATTGAAAAAAAAAAAAAAAAAGTTACGTTAACTTTCATATGTCAATTACTCTAGGGAACAGAACTTTTTCAGGTGGGAGTCGCCATGTAAATATATGTCTTTTTTAAGGTAGGTAACCATTTTTCGTCTTGCTTGAAATTAAATCTTTTGAAAAACTCACTTTTGCATATACAGGGTGTTTCAAAAAAGCTGGTCGTGCTCCAACTTTCTTATTTTAAATTGAATACCCTGTATATTATTCAATATTCGGATTCTACGTCAAATTCTGAGCAGATTTTATGTGATATACCCTATACACCTAATTTCAACTGTTTTGGAAATATTGATAGTTGAAAATTGACTTTTTTGTAAATTTGACAGGCTGTAAAACCTAAACAGTTAACTTTTGAGCAAAACCGATCTTAAATTTTTTTCTAAGATTTTAACAAGTTATCATTTGACACCAACTTTGAATTTAACCGAAGATTAAATTTAATTGCAATTTTCAATCATGGATTAAATTCAAATTTGATGTCAAATATTGGTGTCAACTGATATATATAAAAATCTAGGACAAAAATATAAGATCGGTTTTGCTCTAAAATTAACCGTTTAGGATTTACAGCCTGTCAAAGTTGCCAAAAAGTCAATTTTCACCTGTCAATATTTCCAAAACAGTTGGATTTAGGTATAGGGTATATCACATGAAATCCGCTCAGAATTTTATGTAGGATCCGAATATCTAATAATATACAGGGTATTCTATTTGAAATAAGAAATTTAAAGCACGATCAGATTTTCTGAAACATCCTGTATATGCGAAAGTGAGTTTTCCAAAAAATTTAATTTCAACCATAAAACTTTTAAAATGTGAAATAAAAAAGATAGCGAGGGGTGACATTTATAACCAATAACCCTGTACATACATTTTCATCCGAAATCCCGTGAAATCACTTCGAAATTCTTTGGAAATCCCGAAATCCATTCGAAATAGCGAAGAGCGAAATTCTATCCGAAATCCCAACCAAAATCCTTCAAAAATCCCGAAATCCTAACTGAAATCCCAATTTTAACGAAATCCTCTAAATCTTTAGTGATACAGCGTTGAAATTCGAATATACGAAAACTTTCGAAATCCCTTAAAAATTGTCGAAGACCCCTGCGATTTCCGTAATCGATGTACAAATTGTGGTGAGTGAGCCGCACCTAGGTAAAACGGGTTTAGGAATTAATAAACGATATACAGGGTGTCAAAAATACCATGATTGGGCCATCTCTAAACGGTAAGAGATACGAGGGCGGTCGAATTAAAAAAAAGTTCCCATCGTGATTGAAAATATATTTTCGTTGCTGCCAAATTTCTATCAGTTTCCGTGATACAGGATGATTTGTAAAAAAAAAAACAGTTCTAGGTGTTTTTTTACCAAATCACCCTGTATCTCGGAAACTAATAGAAATTTGGCAACAACGAAAATATATTTTTGATAACCATCGGAAATGGCTCGGGAAATGGCAACTTTTTTTAATTCAACGGCCCTCGTATCTCTTACAGTTTCCGATATACAAACTGTCAATGAAAATAAACCATCAGTCACAATTTACACTTAACAATAACAAAGATGATTACATTCACAGTACTAAAATTGGTTCTGAAAATACATAAACAGTACCGACAGTACTTCTACATTAGTAACAGTACTAAAAATTGCTTTACAATACAGGTTAAGTATTGCTGTTTCATCTACACCAGTTAAATACTTACAATATGTTAACAATACTTGACAATACCTGACAATACTCTAACAATACTCAACTAGAACGGTTAGTTTACAGTAGGTGTACAAATTTCCAATCAGGTGTTGACCCCTCGTGTCTCAAATACATAGGCATATAGAGCTACAATTATACACACTCCGTATCGGGTATAATGTAACGTTTATCGTCCGCGTAAGACAATGAACTTTGAAAAAATGCTATACAATTATACATCATTGGAAAGAGTATTAAATTCTCTATTAGGCAATGTAAAATTGGTCTCTATAGCTTGTAGAGTTTCCGAGATATTGATCCTCAAAGTTAATATTTAGTCAAAATTTTGTCCAAAACTTCAAACACGAGTTTCCCGAAAACCACAAACACTAGCGCCTTCAGCTAAATACCATCTTGAAGCTCTTAAAAAGGACTACAATTACTGAAAATTTTGTCCCAATATCGTTTTTGGTTACCGAGATATCGAGGTTTGAAGATTTGGGAATGAAAATCCAAAGGGGTGCAAAAAATTGAAAGTTTTTATTTTTGAGTTTGTCTCAATTTTGACTCTATAAATCGATAGAGCGACCTCAAATTACCCAGAAACAACTCTGACACCGTTTTGCATATGGAAATTTCCATAAGAAAAAAAATCCAAAAGGAAATCTCGTTTTTGGCTCAAGAATTCTTTTAAAATTCTGTCTCGGTCATGATTAATTGCTCATCTCTTCGATGATATTTGAGCAAATGCTATACAATTATACATCATTGGAAAGAGCATTAAATTCTATATTAGGTCATGTAAAATTGGTTCTTATAGCTCAAAAAGTCTCCGAGATATTGAGCCTCAAAGTTGAAATTTACTCGAAATTTTGTCCAAAACTTCAAAGTCGATTTTCTCAAAAACTAGAAAAGCTAGCAAGTTCAACTAAGTACCATCTTAAAGCACTTATCAAGAGCTACAAGTACCAATAATTTTGTCCCAGTACCGCTTTTGGTTATAGATATATCGAGGTTTGAAGATTTGGGAATGAAAATCCAAAGGGGTACCCCTTAGGAAAAAGTGTAAAAACTTGAAAATTTTTATTTTCGAGTTTTTCTCAATTTTGACTTTATAAGTCGATAGAGCGACCTCAAACTACCCAGAAACAATTCTAACATCGTTTGCATTTAAAAATTTCAGCGACAAAAAAAAAAAAAAATCCGAAAGGAAATCTCGTATTTGGCTCAAGATTTTTTTTATATTCTGACTCGGTCATGATTAATTGCTCATCTCTTCGATGACATTTGAGCAAATGCTATACAATTATACATCATTGGAAAGAGCATTAAATTCTCTATTAGGCTGTGCAAAATTGATTTCTATACCTTGTAAAGTTCCCAAGATATGGAACGTCAAAGTTGAAATTTAGTCGAAATTTTGTCCAAAACTTCAAAGTCGATTTTCTCAAAAACCACGAACGCTAGCGATTTCAGCTAAATATTATCTCAAAGCCCTTATCGAGAGCTACAATTACTGGAAACTTTGTCCCAATACCGCTTTTCGTTACCGAGATATCGAGGTTTGAAGATTTGGGAATGAAAATCCAAAGGGGTACTTCTTTAGGAAAACGTACGAAAAATTGAAAATTACACATTACATACATAACAAACTAAGGATGTCTATTAATTTCAAGTCTAAATGCGTCGACCGATTGGGAGACGCACTACGGTAGTTTGTAAATAAATTCTACAGTCAGATTTTCTTATATTCAGGTTCAATTTTGGCAGTCACTTCTTCTGATCCTCACAGCCCGGGCAAAACTCAGAGATTCGTCGGCATTTGCATTAAACGCGAAGGCTGCGGCCTCAGAGCTTCATTCATACTCAGAAACGTCATAGATCATCAAGTAAGTACAATTTTCCACAAAATTTTTAATTAATTGAATATAATAGGGTGTAGAAATGATGTACGAAATGTATGACCCTGCCTTGCACAAAGTTGAAGTCTTAAAACTGGAAAAACGTTTGGATGATCATCTGTTGTATCTCAGAGATGCTTTGCCTGAATTTAGTACAATTGACGTTAATATGGACCCGGAAATTTTGACAGAAGGTGCCCCAGTGCCCATAAACCCCATCAAAGTGAAGCTGAAGCCCAGGCCTTGGCTGGAAAGGTGGGAGAGGCAACATTTGCGTGGTGTCCAGGACCTTGGCTTGGCCGAAAAGTTTTACAAAAGGGCCCAGGAGTTGGAGAAACCTTGGGAGAAATACGATTTAATGAAGGAGTATATGTAAGTATTGAGGAAATTATTTAAGAAAAAAATTAACTATGATTTTTTTATAGGAAAACAATCCCAGAAGAACAACAGCTGGAAATCTTTGGCGAAGTGCAATCTGAATTGCACAAGTTGGAATTGCAAAGGAGGAAAATGAAGAGGAAACGGGTTTTTGTTAAACCGAGCAAATTAGCTTAAGATGTATTATTGTAATGAGTGAACTTGTGGTATTGTTTTAATAAAATGGAAGTTTTTGGTAATCAATAACTGTTACTAAAACCCCCAATTGCCTTTGAGATTTACCCTAAAATCTGAAAATTGACGCAATATTGAATACCTTTAAAGCATCTCCAGTGACGTCACAAAATGGAACTAAGCAATCCCCCCCTTTTAAAAATCCTTGTCTAATAACGATTATATTGTGCACAGACTATATTCGTGTCTTTTTCTACCAGCTTGCATAAAAAAGAGATAAAACTACTCTTTGACTGAACTGGTTTCGAAATCCACATAACAGAAACACATAACCTCACAAATAAAAAAATCAAAACAAACATGAGTTTATTAAAAAAGGGCCTTTGTGGGGCCCTCAGAAACCTAAAATGCATAAGAAAATACAGTAATAACCTCTACGAGCCTGATTATTTAGAGGTAAATACCTTAAACAACATTTTACAATCTTCAGTTAAACTATTTACAGGGCATGAAATCCAAAATCCCCCTGTACGACACCCTCAATATCCAACTAAGAGGCTACGATTATCCAGTCCTGGAAAGCTACCAAAAGTACCTACACAACCTTATAAAAAACATGGACATAAATGTGGAAGATTGCTGGGCAGTACCGCCTCAACATTTACATATATCCACCTACAAACCTCAAAGCGAACTAATAGATTCCCAATACAAACTCAAACTATACGACCGCACTGTGCAAATAACTGATATTTCATCTATACAGCTACCAATTTTATACAGGGTTTTAGAAGCTACAATACCTGTAGGCGTTACCGTACAAGTGGTACCTCATGAAGAGTACCACGAAGAGAACCGGTACGTGCCTGATAGCGAACTGAACAAGTTAAAGGGAGAGTTGGAGGAAATGGGTGGACCAGCTAAGAAAAAATCATAGGGGAAATAATGTTTATTTAACAATAATTGTATTATAAATACTGATTAATAAATAAAAGTAAAAAAAATCTCTTGTTGGACTAGTCACTATTGTCTCATGACGTCATCTGTATGCCTCAACATAATGCACATCTTCACAAGGCACCCCAGATGCGTCATCAGGCAACCTATCAAGGTTTTTGACTAGAAAAATTTTGAATGATTGTTTTTACCTTAAAAACTAAAACCCAATAGTTTGAAATTGAAAATTATACAGTGGTTCAAGTCAAATTTATCTTGTAAGACGAATAAACAGAGCCTTAGAACACTGTGCCTTGTAAAAGAAAGAGAAAATCACAGAAAAGTGTGCAAAAATTACTTAAATTTAATTGCCTAAAATATCATAGCAAGGCTTGCAAACTGGTACCGCCTTTTGGGCAGTATGTCCGGGCAGTACTACCTGTTTCGTGATGCATCTCATGCAGAAAATGTCGCCGCATTTGCGACAATAGTTCTATAAAACACAAAAAATTGTCAGTACTCGCTTACCTTGTTATTGGAATCAAACCTTTTTGCTGAGATGATCAAAGGCCGAAGAACAACTGCACTCGCTTATATTTCTCATTGTTTTCCAATCTATGGCTACTGAGTCAAATTCTTTGGATAAGTCTTCCATTTGTGGTGAGTCTTTGTTGTCAATAATTATTTTATCACCTAAAAAATGTTGTGGTTTGTCTAATGAGTTTTGAGCCAGGAAAATTTTACTTTTCAAAGGATGATCGTGATCAGCACTTTCCAATTCCTTATTGTACATCAGCTTATTGTCCAAATGGACATTATTGCAAAGTTCCACCTTGTTGGGTTTTGATGTTTTCTTTTCCATTGATTTTGTCAGCATGTTTTTGACTGAAGTTATTCTCTATAATAAGGAAAGTATTTTAGGTTTATAGTTATACATGATTTTGGGGTGCTTTACCTTTGTCAAATATTTGACATGATCGTCCAACGAAAACGAATGATCAGAGGTGGCTAGGAGTAGGTCAGCGGTGGGTTCACGAGGATGGACACCGCTTTCGAATCTATAGTACATTCCTCTCCAAAATCTACAACAATTAAACTATTTCAGGTTGTGTTTTTTAAAGTTTTCACTCAAACAACTTGAAAATTTAGTAAAACATGCTTCAAACCTTCCTTTCACTCCTGACTAAATTGCAAATTAATACTTAGAACAGTTCATGAGTAAAAAAATCACTTACATCCTTGTGTCTGGATTATTGAAAAATTCCCTTGATAATCAAATTACTTCGGGCTGTATTTTTCAAAGTTTTCACTCAAACAACTTGAAAATTTACTAAAACATGCTGCAAACCTTCCTTTAATTCCTCACTAAATTGCGAATTAATACTTAGAACAGTTCATGAGTAAAAAAATCATTTACATCCTTGTGTCTAGATTATTGAAAAATTCCCTTAATAAACAAACTACTTCAGGTTGTATTTTTCAAAGTTTTCAATCAAACAACTTGAAAATTTACCAAAACATGCTCCAAACCTTCCTTTCACTCCTCACTAATTTGCAAATTAATACTTAGAACAGTTCATGAGTAAAAAAATTACTTACATCCTTGTGTCTGGATTATTGAAAAATCCCTTGATAATCAAATTACTTCGGGCTGTATTTTTCAAAGTTTTCACTCAAACAACTTGAAAATTTACCAAAACATGCTCCAAACCTTCCTTTCACTCCTCACTAATTTGCAAATTAATACTTAGAACAGTTCATGAGTAAAAAAATTACTTACATCCTTGTGTCTGGATTATTGAAAAATTCCCTTGATAATCAAATTACTTCGGGCTGTATTTTTCAAAGTTTTCACTCAAACAACTTGAAAATTTACCAAAACATGCTCCAAACCTTCCTTTCACTCCTCACTAATTTGCAAGTTAATACTTAGAACAGTTCATGAGTAAAAAAATTACTTACATCCTTGTGTCTGGATTATTGAAAAATCCCTTGATAATCAAATTACTTCGGGCTGTATTTTCCAAAGTTTTCACTCAAACAACTTGAAAATTTACCAAAACATGCTCCAAACCTTCCTTTCACTCCTGACTAATTTGCAAATTAATACTTAGAACAGTTCATGAGTAAAAAAATCACTTACATCTTTGTGTCTGGATTATTGAAAAATTCCCTTGATAATCAAATTACTTCGGGCTGTATTTTTCAAAGTTTTTACTCAAACATCCTGAAAATTTACCAAAACATGCTCCAAACCTTCCTTTCACTCCTCTCCAAATTGCAATAGAATTGAAGTTATAAGTTTTCAAAAATCCAAATCAAAAGAAAAATCACCAAAATTGTCTTGTACCAATTAATACAAATAATTTCAAAATTCAAAATTCTTACTTGATATTTTGAGGAATCAATTGCGGCCTTATAACCCCAGGAGTCTCATTTGATTCATACAGCGGATTAAGGTATTCGTCCAAATGATTCGCCATATAACCCCATAGAGAGTAAGTCCGTTCTGACAGTCTAAAACAATTCAAAAACCATATTTTCCAGCAAACTAACATCATCTCAGTACCTCAAATCAACTCTATCCTTTTCGCAATTGCCCACAAACGTCCCATACTGACAAGAATGCACATGATCGTGAATTGTAAGCAGAAAATTATCATTGAATTGAAACGAACAGGGAAACTGTTGCATCAATTGCCAGGTGGCATCCAAAAGCTGAGTAAAAACTGGAGATATTTCTTTGCTGTCAGTTTGCACATGTCCACATCTGTCTGAAAACTTGTGGCCAAATGCCAACCAATCTTTTTCAATAAGAGCCTGATATCCGGATATTGTCCTGTAGTATGGGTCTAGGAGTAGGGAGGAGATGGAGCAAACTTGTGCAGTTCTGTCCCAACCATCAGAACAATGCACCACTACACTTATGCCTTCTTCCAAAGCTTCTGCTATAAACAATGAAGTATCCAGGATTGATTTTACATGCCTCACCCAACCACTGGATTCTAAACCGCTTAGAAAACTACTCATTGTAGGGTTTTTTTGCTCACAAGCTGCAAACAAAGAGTTTCTTAGGCAAATTGTATTTTATTTATACCAAAACATTATTACTTTCAACCACCTTCAAAAGACTATTGCGCATCACATGAATGTTTTCAACTCCTAAAAAGTGAAACTTGATGTTTTCATAGAAGGCCTCGTTTTCGTAGCCTTTGCCTGCGGCTCTATTTGCCATAGCGTTTATCTACAAGAATTATTTAATAAATCTACTAAAAATTATTATAGTGACACTATTACCTTTGGTCTAGTATCAACCACATACATAAAAGTAGCATTTGGATTAGTTTTCAATACATGATTGAGCATTTTTTCATCTTCCAAACATCTGGCACTGAATCCAGATAAAGGTTGACTGCACCGGCTAATGCTAGCCTTATTAGGGTGCCAATAGGACAAAACTGGTAAACGGCCTTTGGAACGGAATCCTGAACTGCCTCTTAAGGTGGTTTTAGTAGCCGAAGCTGGTACGTAAAGGTACTTGGGGTATGTGTCACACAACTAATAATTGAATAATGTATGAATGATTACGAACACAAAATTATTAGGTACCTCATAATCCTCATTTAATTTAGTCAAAGCCCATTGGTCATTTGGTACCCCCATTCTTTGGTACTCTGACTGCAAATCAAAGAAGTTCCAGCCAACATTCTTGGGAATTTCGTCCGAAGTGTAGGTAAAACAATACAAGTCTTCAATGTTATTGGGTTGCGACAACTGATGCAATGTTAAGAAAGTATCATGACAATCCCGTTCTTTTGGTATTACAAATGTTACAGACAGAAATGTTTTTGTGCGTATTAGCAAAGGGGAACCTGTTGTTGTTAGTGGAAGCTTTTCCAAGCTGGCAATATGCATATGAGGGACCTTAAAATGATAATTCAGTAAGGGTATTTTTTTAAAAATTTCAATACCCATGTTTCCTTCTTGGCTTCTGGATCAACGAAAATTAAATGGGTTGCAGTCAAGTATAGGGTGCCTTGAGATGAGCCTTTGGAGTATCTATCCAGCATACGGACATTTTCAATCTTGAAATAATTATAAAGAATTTTGTGTGAGATTTAAATTATTATTCCAGGGGGAGTAACCACCCAAGGAAATAGGGGTACAAGGGTATATCAGCAATTTCAAGCAAGTTAGATGACTACAAGTTCCAGATATTGCAAAAAAAAAAGAAGGCAGATACAGTGTGTGATTCTCCATGTTGCTATTTTTCACTGGAAAAATTTGAAATTCTGGTAAAATGAGCCTCTAACCTTCTTCTTTACATGCAAAAATTTTCAAATTTTTCCCTTCACTAGTAGTCCAGGAAAAATTTCAAATGTATGAGACTGTATTTTCAGTTAATTTAGTTTTTGTAGGCTGATTTCCAAGATTCTTCATGTTGCTATTTTTCACTGGAAAATTTTGGGAAAATGAGCCTTTAACCTTTCTGATCACATGCAAAAAGTTTCAAATTTTTCCCTAATATTTCAGGAAAAATTTGAAATGTGTGAGACTGTATTTTCAGTTAATTCAGTTTTTGTAGGTTGATTTCCAAGATTTTCCATGTTGCTATTTTTCACTGGAAAAATTTGAAATTTTGGGAAAATGAGCCTTTAACCTTTCTGTTTACATGCAAAAAATTTCAAATTTTTCCCTTCACTAGTAGTCCAGGAAAAATTTGAAATGTGTCAGACTGTATTTTCAGTTAATTCAGTATTTGTAGGCTGATTTCCAAGATTCTTCATGTTGCTATTTTTCACTGAAAAAATTTGAAATTTTGGGAAAATGAGCCTTTAACCTTTCTGTTTACATGAAAAAAATTTCAAATTTTTCCCTTCACTAGTATTCCAGGAAAAATTCGAAATGTGTGAGACTGTATTTTCAGTTAATTCAGTTTTGTAGGTTGATTTCCAAGATTCTTCATGTTGCTATTTTTCACTGGAAAAATTAGAAATTTTGGGAAAATGAGCCTTTAACCTTCCTCTCTACATGCAAAAAGTTTAAAAATTTTCCCTCAAGTAGTTTTCCAGGAAAACTTTGAATTGTGTGAGATTGTAGGAAATACACCTTTCAAAATCTCTTGAAATTGCATAAAAACCTACAAAATCTAACAAAATTTCATTGGAACCAAAAAAATCCTGCAAAATCTCATAAAATCATTAACATTCCTGAAAAATATTTCCTTTGAAATTCTCAAATATCTATTAAAGTCTCTCAGAATTCCATAATTTAGTGGAATTTCGGTAGAATTATGTTATTCTGAAAAGGAATGCCATGTGAAATTTCCATAGTATCCACATTAAATTTTAGTTCCACTGGAATTACATGAAATTTCAGTGAAATTCTGATTGAATTACACAAAATCCTAAATGAATTGCATTGAGGAATTCTCAACAATTATATGAAATCGCACCGAAATTCTCAACATGAAATTTCAGTTCTTACTGATTTTTAATAAAATTCCACAAGTGGAATGCCAAGGAAATTCTGGCTAAAAACATGATATTCCGAAAAATTTCAATATATGTATTTTGGTGAATTTTCAAGAAATTACTTGAAGTTTCATTAATATTCCTAGAAATTCCTGGGACTTATGGTGAAATTTCTAGGACTTTCTGTTTTTCTATTCAAATTTTGAGAAATTCCATAAAATCTTTTGGTGAAATTCCAAGGAAAATTAACAAAAATTTTCGCAGAATTCCCATGGAATAATTTGAAATTTTAGTGGAAGGCTGAAGAATTTCATGAAATCTCATAAGTAGTGTAATTCCAAGGAATTTCTAACTTCCCTCAAATACTCCAAAATCACCTAAAATCCTGTATCATATGAAGATTTTCAAAATCCTCGAAATCCAAGTCAAAATCCTACAAAATCAATGAAGATTTAAAATCTGTGTACATATTTTGAAGAGTTAATCACCCCTTGGTACTTACTATACTCTTCTCATTTTCAAAAAACCAGTCCCCAAGTTGACCAGTAATATCAAGGTACCTAACAGCTCTTGTGTTACAGAGGTGACATGGGGATTGTAGCTTTGGAGGTTGATGGAGAGTAGGTAGTATAAAAAGTAGACAAATATATGATCAATATGTTCTTTACATAATATATCCTAACCCTATAACTATAAACTAAATAAAATAATATATAATACATGATCTCACATTCTAATGGTTTTTTCAAAAATTGATAAGGGAAAAATTTTGAAACTTCCGGAGTAGAGAGAGAAAGACTAGAAGCTCATCATACTGAAATTTCAAATTAATCCAGTAGAAAACAACCACAGGAAAAATTCCTGGAAATTAACTTTGAAAAACTCAATAAAATATAAAATACATCTCACATTATAAGGTAAAGTACCCAGTTGTTGACATGTTAAGGGTATCCTTGCTTATGATCACCACACATTTTCCAAATTTTCAAACCCAAGGCTTTGATATATTTTTTGGCGTGATTTCAAACTCAAATTTAAATGTTTAGATATATTATTTACCCTACCTATATTTCTATTATTTTTGTTATTATGCCAAAAATACCTGAAAGGTGATAAAACCCCAATTGTTGACACCCAAAAAAGTTCACTTCGCCAAAAGTTGACACATTTTTGGTCCAAAGGTTGACATATATTTTTTTACAAAACCAAATTTTTACTTTTAAGAAATTTTATCACGGTCTGTGGAACTAAGAAGTATATTTTTCTAAGTGTAAAATTTTTTAAATGAAATATATGCACATAATAACCAATTATTTTAATTTTAAAAAATATATGTTGTGGTTCCAATACTTGACACTCTTGAAACCAATAGTTGACATGTTGCCTGTATCAGTAAAAACCCTGGTAGAAACTTCAATAATGTAAGAATCAAACTTTTTATTAATAAAAAATCACATTCGGAAACTTTTTGTTGGGAAAAAATACAAATTTCGATTCTAAATTGGTAATAAAAGAAATTGCATTGGTACATTGTGTTTTTTTTTCCTGATGTAGCTACAGTAAAACCCCTATTGCAATCATCCAACGCAGCAATCATGTCTTCTGGTAGTTCTGGTGCAAATTTGACCAATTTCCATTTTTCATAAGTCATCTCTTGATTTAAACCTGAAAGGACCAATTGTTGACACTCTAAAGCTCCAAACATTGACAGGGGTAACAGGGGTGTCATCTATTGGATCTATGACCGTTACATTCCCCAAACCCATTCTTTTTAATCCAGAGCAATAAAAAGAGACAGACTACAATGTCAAAATATTTTTACCGCCAAAAATCCATAAGTTGACACTAGTGTCAACATTTGGATCACCCCTCGATTTGGGCTCCAATAGTTGACACCCCCCCCTTAAAAAGTTTATGTCCGTTATTTAAGAGATAAAACAATTATAGATATGTATTACAATATATCTTATTATACAGCAAATATATATTATACATAAATTATCAACCCTACCTTAGCTTTGAGAACTTTTGTTTTTATATTTTCTTAACTACTTTCACTAGAAATCTGGAAAAAAGTTCAAACAATTGCACCTGTTTACTACTTCTTGCCACCATTTCGAAAAAACTTGTGATTTCAAATCCATGCATCAGCTATAACACGCAATATAGATCCAACTATACTATAAGCTATTTCAGTTAGCTTATAACCTCTATAAATTCTTATTTTCGGGAATACTGTGCTAATGTGTCAACTTTTGGGACCCTGTCAACAACTGGGTACTTTACCTTAATGGATTTCTCAAAAACTGATAAGGGAAAAATTTTGAAATTTCTGAAGTAGAGAGAGAAAGACTTGAAGCTCATCATACTAAAATTTCAAATTATTCCAGTACCCAAGTCGACCAGTAATACCAAGGTACCTAATAATGATAAAATATTGTCACAACTCTTGTGTTACAGGGGTGACATGGGCATTGTAACTTGGGGGGTTTGTGGAGAGTAGGTAGTATAAAAAGTAGACAAATATATACTTGCTTAATATATTCTTTACATAATATATCCTAATTCTATAGGATGGATGACTCCAAATTACTTAACTTTGAAAAACTACTTAAATTAAATATAAAATACATGATCTCACATTCTAATGGATTTCTCAAAAACTGATAGGGGAAAAATTTTGAAACTTCGGGAGTAGAAAGAGAAAGACTAGTAGCTCATACTAAAATTTCAAATTAATTCAGTAGAAAACAAGCACAGGAGAAATTCCTGGAAATTACCTTTAGAAATCTAAATAAAATATAGAATACATGATCACGCATTGTAATGGTTTTCTCCTTGGTTTTCTCAAAAACTGATAAGGAGAAAAATTTGAAACTTCTGGAGTAGAGAGAGGAAGACTACAACCTCATCATACTAAAATTTCAAATTAATCCAGTAGATAACAACCACAGGAGAAATTCTTGGAAATTACCTTTAGAAATCTATATAGAATATAGAAATCATGATCTCACATTCTAATGGTTTCCTCGAGGGGGAATCCACCTACCTAATTTTGTACACCAAAAATTCTAAAATTCTGAAAAATGCTAATTTTCATGTTATTATTGTCCCAAAAAATTCTAAAAATTCTAAAAAATTCCAAAAATTCCAACAAATTGGGCAGGTTCTTGAGCATGCGCAATAGATAGAAATTCTAAATTATTTCTAAAAAATTCTAGTTCAATTCTAAAAAATACTGAATAATTCTAGAAATTGCTAGAAAATACTAAAAAATGCAAAAAAAATACTGATAATTCTGAAAAATTCTAAGAAATTCTAAAAATTCTATCAGTTTGTACAGGGTGATCTGTTATAAATGTCACCCCCTGCTAACTTTATCATTTGACGTTTTTGACAGAAGTTTTAAGAAATTTTCAAGTCTTTAACCTCATCTTTAACTAAGTTAGTTTTAGGCATACGGGGTGCGTCAAAAAAGTGCAGCAGTGTGAAGTTATATTTTTTAAAATGGAACACCTTGTATATTGTGTGCTTATTTGTTAGTCCCCTTTAACCTGATTTCAACGATATACGGTTTGATATGTTTATCTCTTGGTTTATCTTCAATAGTTATAGGGAAAAACGCGAAAATCCCTTGGTAGGTCTCTAATGTTATTTTTTCAAAAATAATAATAATAACTTAGACACCTGAATTTATTATAATATTTCACCTTGTATATTAATGAATAAAATTTGAACAATAAACTGTTTATAAAAAAAATTCTCTAAAGCTTCAATGGTATAATTTTTCTTAACCTTGAAAGGGGTTTTCATGTTTTTCCCTATAAATATCGAAGATAGACATATTAAATCGTATATCGTTGAAATCAGGTTAAAAGGGACTAACAAATAAGCGCACAGTATGCAGGGTGTTCCATTTAAAAAAATATAACTTCACACTGCTACACTTTTTTGGCACACCCTGTATGTCTAAAACTGACTTGGTTAAAAACTTTCGACAATTTATTAAAACTTTTGTATTTGACACTTTTGTCAAAAATGTCAAATAAAAAAGTTAGAAGGGGGTGACATTTATAATAGATCACCCGCTAATTCTCAAAAATTCTAAAAATTCAAAAAAAAAATCGAAAATCCCTACAGATTGCGCAGTGTGCAGGCTCTTGAGCATGCGCAATAGGTGAAAATTCTAAATTATTTCTAAAAAATTCTAATTCAATTCTAAACTTGATTTTAAACAATACTAAAAAATTCTAAATAATTCTAGAAAATGCTAGAAAATACTGATAATTCTAAAAAAATCTAAGAAATTCTAAAAAATTCTATCAGTTTGTACACCAAAATTCTAAGGTGGTTTCCCCCTTGGGTTTCCTCAAAAACTGATGGGGAATTTTTTTTAAAACTTCTGGAGTAGAGAGAGAAAGACTCATCATACTGAAATTTCAAATTAATTCAGTAGAAAACAACCACAGGAGAAATTCCTGGATATTACCTTTAGAAATCTAAATAAAATATAGAATACATGATCTCGCATTGTAATGGTTTTCTCCTTGGTTTTCTCAAAAACTGATAAGGAGAAAAATTTGAAACTTCTGGAGTAGATAGAGGAAGACTAGAAGCTGATCATACTAAAATATCAAATGAATCCAGTAGAAAACAACCACTAGAGAAATTCTTGGAAATTAGGTACCTTTAGAAATCTAAATAAAATATAGAAATCATGATCTCACATTCTAATGGTTTCCTCAAAAACTGATGAGGAAAAAATTTTAAAACTTCTGGAGTAGAGAGAGAAAGACGAGGAGCTCATCATACTGAAATTTCCGAGGAAATTTCAAATTAATTCAGTAGAAAACAACCACAGGAGAAATTCCTGGAAATTACCTTTAGAAATCTAAATAAAATACCTATAGACTCGCCTATAGAATACATGATCTTGCATTGTAATGGTTTCCTCAAAAACTAATGAGGAAAAAATTTCAAAACTTCTGGAGTAGAGAGAGAAAGACTAGAAGCTCATCATACCTACTAAAATTTCAAATGAATCCAGTAGAAAACAACCACAGGAAAAATTCCTGGAAATTAAATTTGAAAAATTAAATAAAATATAAAATACATGATCTCACATTCTAATGGTTTTTTCAAAAACTGATAAGGAAAACATTTTGAAACTTCTGGAGTAGAGAGAGAAAGACTAGTAGCATATTATACTGAAATTTCAAATTAATCCAGTAGAAAACAACCACAGGAAAAATTTCTGGAAATTAACTTTCAAAAACTGATAAAAGAAAAATGTTGATACTTCTGGAGTAGACAGAAAGACTAGGTAGTAGCTCATCATACTGAAATTTACATGTGAATACTTACATATGAATACATGAGAATATAAAGGAATACACGAGGAAATACATGATAATAAATATGAATACATAGTGTATATAATATAAGAATATATTAGATTACATGAAAAAATAGGGATATATTGGATTACATGGGCTATGACAAAGCTCCAGGGGACAAGGCATAAGGGTCACTAGATACAGTTGAGTAACCAATAAACTGACCCCAAGCAGCATTGACAAATGGATGTGACCTGCTATAAAGACCCTAGCATGTAAAATATGTTGTAATACGCATCATAATACCTTATAAAAAAGTAAAGTATCACCTAAAAAAGGTTATAAATGTACAACTTTCAATAGGGTGGTTGGCCCCTCTGAAATCTGAATTACTTTCACTTACCTTTGGTGTCCGGATTGTGTCCATACTTTGACCAATTGCACAAGCTATTTGCAACAGCTTTTCCACTTATTTTAATTGTTTAAATAATTATTTTTAATTTTATCAACAATACACTTGTCAACTTGGAACAGCTGTTTTTAAAATGGCGGCCGCTAAAACGTGTGGCGCCATCTATTGACGGACAGTCACAAAACATTAAAAAAACCAATTAAAATTGATTTAATTGAATTATTTTAATTGTTTTTAGTTAATTGTTGTTAATTTTCTAGTTAATTAAAGTATTAGAGTCTAGTAAAAGTTGCAAATTAATGCAAATTAGAATAAAACAGTGTTGCCACATTTGACAAAAAACGCTTGACATCTCATCTGTCAAATTTAAAAATCCCCATGCCTTGCGCGAAAAAATGGCGCACGAATTGTTTGTGGTCGCAGCATAGTGCATTTCAAAATATGGTTTTAAAGCCGGGCTGCTACAGTTAAAAACACATTACTATTTAAGTAAAATCAATGTCGGACATTAAACGAGTGAGTTTAACGTCATTCGAGCCCCCTAGGGCGAAGCCCGAAGCCAAAAAACATTCCAGAACGGTGCGGATTCGGGTCAAGCTGCCCGAATCCAACGAAGACAAATGTCCGGAATTCAACTATAAGGACGAGCTAGCGGCTGCAAAGGTAAATCTTGTGACTGAAAATTGTTTAATTATTAATGCCTGCATAATTTTGAGGCAAAATTCCCGGCTGTCAGTTAAAGGGGGCTCCAAAAACGCGCCTGCTTTACAGGCTTAGGTTAGCAGCACCCTATTAGAAAGCCCCCTTTTACTGAGGGGCTAAGGCTCGGTATAAGGCGATTTTCGTTTTAGACGCCATATTTAAAGCAAAAAAAATTTAAAAAATTCTATATTGTTTTCGCAAAACAAGTTTTACAGCAGATATTTTGGGGGCCAAAACATTTAAAAAAAAAGGGGCCTTATAGTACTTTAGTGTTATAAACAATATATCGATTTCATAAAAATGCATGCATTTCATCCAGCAGAAATTAAATTATTTATTATTAGCCTTGTGCCTGTAGGTATATGTGGCTACGAGAGACACATCATATTTGAAACATGTTGGGGCACGTTCAAGTTGGTTTAGTTGCCACGAGTTTTATTTCAATTTCCTTCTATAAAGATGCTTTTTATTTTCGTTTAGGTATAATTTATTATTTCGTGCGTAGTGCCACACTGCACAGCATTTTGCGAATAGTAGTAGTAGGCAGGAGGCAATACAGGACAAGGCAAAATTCCAATTGTATAACTAGTGGAGAAAGTGCATATTATTTTTTTTATGTGTATGTGTAGCCGCCTTTTCAATAAATGATAATTATTTTATTGCCAAATAGATTACAATAATTGTTTGTTTTTCATTAATAATAATTACTTTTTTAATCAATTTAAAAGTCCAATAATTGCTTAAGAGAGAGAGGTTAATGTACCTATACTACACCAAAACCCCCCTCTTAGTCTTAAGACAATATAAAAGACAAATTTAATTAATTATTAATTAATTGATTAATAAGTTTTTTTAGTGAAAATCTAAGCAAATTTCCTTTATTATTGTCGAAATCGAATGGCGCGCTTTTATCGGGAGCCCAGAACAGGCCAGGAGATATTTTTCTCCTGTCCACACACAATATTCAGGCGGGCTCCTTGCTGACTGAAATGCGACGTTGCCACAATGTCTGGGAATTCCCTTTTTTAGACTTTAATATTTGTTATATTAATGAAAAACTTTTGGTTGTTTTTATTTATTTTTTTATTTCCAGGTATTAAGTAATTATTATTGTTAAAATCAACAAAATTATTGCTTCATAAATTCCAGAAATAAATAATGACAACATTGTCCTTTCATGTTGGACTCATTATTGTGAGAGATTTATGGGTTTTCTGTTGTGTAGGATAAGGATGGCTTGTTAAAGCACATGGTGATTGTATAGGGGGAGGCCTTTCGTTTTGGCAAATTTATTAGGAAAGGTCGCACTCTACTAGATTATCAATGAGCTGACAGGAAATGCAATGGCTAGCTGAAATTTGAGATTTAAATTTTAATGGGAATTGATAAAATACCTGATAATTATTTTGATTTATTGATTAGTCATGTTTTGTTGTCATGAAACATTGATTTTTGATTGATTGATCAACTTTTTTCAAATTTTGACTTTCCCAATGGAAAAAGGAAGTCAAAATTAGTCTATAGCAAGTCTTACATTATTCTCAAAAAGCAGATTTGGAAGCTGCAGATTTTAAGTAATCAATTTTACATGCATTAACATGAGAAAAAACTTCCAAATTTAGTTTGAAGCTTCAAATCAACTTCAAATTAATTTTTCCACAAAAAAGAAACTTCAATTCATAAAACCTGAAAGTTTCAGGTCACTGTGATCATTGGAAGTATTTTGCACAAGTGATTTTTGCAGATTTTAATCATTTTTGCATGCATTAATTTAAGAAAAAGCTTCCAAATTTAGTTTGAAGCTTCAAATCAATTTCAAGTTAACTTTTCCACAAAGAAAAAACTTCAATTCATAAATACTGAAAGTTTCAAGTCACTGTGACCATTGGAAGTATTTTGCACAAGTGATTTTTGCAGATTTTAATCATTTTTGCATGCATTAATTTAAAAAAAAGCTTCCAAATTTACTTTGGAGCTTCAAGTCGACTTCAAATTAACTTTTCCACAAAGAGGAAACTTCAATTCAAAATTCCTGAAAGTTTCAAGTCACTGTGATCATTGGAAGTATTTTGCACAAGTGATTTTTGCAGATTTTAATCATTTTTGCATGCATTAATTTAAGAAAAAGCTTCCAAATTTAGTTTGGAGCTTCAAATTAACTTTTCCACAAAGAAGAAACTTCAATTAAAAATTCCTGAAAGTTTCAAGTCACTGTGATCATTGGAAGTATTTTGCACAAGTGATTTTTGCAGATTTTAATAATTATTGCATGCATTAATGTAAGAAAAAGCTTCCAAATTCAGTCTGGAGTTTCAGATCAACTTCAAATTAACTTTTCCACAGAGAGGAAACTCCAATTCATAAATCCTGAAAGTTCCAAGTTACTGTGATTATTGGAAGTATTTTGCACAAGTGATTTTTGTAGATTTTAATCTCTTTTGCCTGCATTAACATAAGAAAAAGCTTCCAAATTTAGTTTGAAGCTTCAAATCAACTTCAAATTAACTTTTCCACAAAGAGGAAACCTCAGTTCATAAATCCTGAAAGTTTCAAGTCACTGTGTTCATTAGAAGTATTTTGCACAAGTGATTTTTGCAGATTTTATTCATTTTTTACATGCATTAACATAAGAAAAAGTTTCCTTTAGCTGAAATTAAAACCTTAAACTGGTCCAATCCCAATTTATTATGTAAACAAATAATACGATCTTATAATAACAATTTCCATAATAGACACTATAGAAATAGATTTTGTTCTAAAAGTGCTCCTTGGTATAATGTGAGACACTTTAAAGTGATGAGGACAATAGACAATAGATTTATTCATGAAGAAAAATTTTACAGTCTTAACAATCTTCCAAAATATACTTTGGTAGGTAATACTTATTAAAAAATGTAAAAGGGACTTAAACCTACAAATTACAAAACATAAAGTTAATGGGACTGTCAGTACACTCAATTATACAAAACAATAAATGTCACACTTAAAATTAATTATGTACATACCTACTTGTACTGGATATTTTCTCTTGTGTGATATTGTATAATGTATAATAATATGGTATATTGTAATGTTTTATATAATACTGAATCACCTGCATAGCTTTCCAACTCAGGGTCTCTAGTTCAGGTATATACATCTATTATTTAACTATCATGTTGAAATAAAGGGAAAAAAAAATGATTTTTGAAGATTTTAATCATTTTTGCAGGGGTAAGTTAAGTGTGTATTTAAATAAACAAAATTTCCTATTTTTCGCTTTTTTCAATTTTTGACTTTCCCAATGAAAAGAGGAGGTTGACTTTCCCAATGAAAAGAGGAGGTTAAAATTAGTATAAAACAAGTCTAACATTTCTTCAAAGAGCAGATTTGAAAAATTGCAAAAAAAAATATAATTTTTAGTCTTCGAGAAGTTTTGATGTTTTGACATGGTCTTAAACATTTGCTCACAGTTTCCGTAATTTTCAACGAATCAACTTGTATCATAGGTTTTCTGAAAGAGGATTGAATTCTCTATAAATCCTCCAAATATGAATAAAGTTGCTTTTATAGGCTTAGAGAAATTAAGCCTCAAAGTTGGAATTTCGCTTAAATTTCATCCAAAACTTCAAGTTGAATTGCTCAAAAATCACTGGTGGTACAAATATTTCTCAAACACCACATCAAAGTATTCAATGAGAACTACAATCTCAGAAAAATTTGGCACGATACCTCTCATGGGTATTGAGATATTACACATTAAAGAATTTGAATAAAAATATCAAAGGGGTAAGTAGGTATTTAAAAAAACGAAATTTTCTATTTTCTACTTTTTTCAATTTCTGACTTTTCCAATGAAAAAATGAGGTCGAAATTAGTATAAAACAAGTCTAACATTTCGTCAAAAAGCAGATTTGAAAAATTGCAAAAAAATATCCTTTTTAGTCTTAGGAAAGGTTTGATGTTCTGACAAGGCCCTAAACATTTGCTCGCAGTTTCCGTTATTTTCAACGAAACGACTTGTATTATAGATATTCTGAAAGAGGATTAAATTCTCTATAAATCCTCCAAATATGAATAAAGTTGCTTCTATAGGCTTGGAGAAATTGAGCTTCAAAGTTGGAATTTTGCTTAAGTATCATCCAAAACTTCAAGTTGAAATTGCTCAAAAACCACTGGTGGTACAAATATTTCTCAAATACCACATCAAAGCATTCAATGAGAGCTACAATCTCAGAAAAATTTGGCACGATACCTCTTATGAATATTGAGATATTACACATTAAAGAATTTGAATAAAAATATCAAAGGGGTAAGTAGGTATTTAAAAAAACGAAATTTTCCATTTTCTACTTACTTTTTTCAATTTTTGACTTTTCCAATGAAAAGAGGAGGTCAAAATTAGTATAAAACAAGCCCTAAAAAGCAGATTTAAAAAATTGCAAAAAAAAACATCCTTTTTAGCCCTAGAAACTTTTTGATGTCCTGACATAGTCTCAAACATTTGCTCATAGTTTCCGTAATTTTCAACGAATCGACTTGTATTATAGATATTCTAAAAGAGAATTAAATTCTCTATAAATCCTCCAAATATGATTGAAGTTGCTTGTATAGGCTTAGAGAAATTAAGCCTCAAAGTTGGAATTTTGTTTAAATTTCATCCAAAACTTCAAGTTGAAATTGCTCAAAAACCACTGGTGGTACAAATATTTCTCAAATACCACATCAAAGCATTCAATAAGAGCTACAATCTCAGAAAAACTTGGCACGATACCTCTTATGGATATTGAGATATTACACATTAAAGAATTTCAGACACGAAATTAAACTTTAAATCAATATGTTTGACTCTACGATTATTAGAAGAGAATTGCTAATTATTGCCAAACAACCCTGATTATCTTCGAAGAAAGTTATTAATTCAAAGTTAACATCAAAATCAATGAAAACCTTTCTTCAATCACTAACTGAAGTACACAAAG